GTTCTGACTCAGCTGTTCTGACTCAGCTGTTCTGACTCAGCTGTTCTGACTCAGCTGTTCGCATCTCATCACACCCGTGCAGCGTTGTATCTTTTCGTCTCGTGTTTTTGTTTCTCTAGGGGCATTCAGCAATGACAAACTGTTCTAACTTCCAATTTACAAGAGGTGTGCTACACAGAACGGCGGTGGCTCAAGGGACAGCAGGTGTAGGGATCTCAGCCTGGCCCTGGATGGCATTTTTAGGGTGTGAGGCATCTACTGTGGCGGGTGTGAGGACGTGTGTGGCCGAGCAGACTCGGAAGTGAGCGATTGTCCAGGCGCTGGACACTTTGAAACTGGTTTAAAAGTTGCGTTGTCTGGGGAGAGGATGGGCTTTGAGAGAGGTTTTGTGTGGTTTCTGTACAAAAGAAGAGCTAATTTGGTCTTTTCCCAATGAGGGGGCATGCACCAGCTCTGCTGTGTAAGGTTGCTGGAGCATCACATTGAGTGATGGTGTCACGTTTGGGGAGAGGACATTCTTGGCAGCCAGACATCGAGGTTTTTGGGGACTGGAGTGGGGTGTAAAATGGTGGCAGAGAACCTCACTGCAGAAAACGAGGCCACCAGGTAATCAAAAAAGCAGGTTTAGTGTTTGCTGGTCAAACACTCACAGGTATTTTGCAAGCCTGGCAACTTATGAGAAGTCAGTGAATTGGGGCTCCTGTGCTGGCACATCTCATCCTATATTCCATGCCATTTCAAGTACAGTTAAATGCAGTGTATTGTTTTATACAGCAGTGCTGGTTGTTTTATCTGTAGTAGTTATATAGTGATAAGATTAATCTTATTTCTGCTAGGAATGGTTGCATCCATAGGAAGCATGTTCACTTTCCCTTTGTGAAACTCCTTGTGGTGTGTGCAGTTCTGAGACTTCAAAGTTATGGCATAAATTGAGGTAGATTAATTTTTCCTGTCCAATTTGTGAAGCCAACAGATCCCCACTGCCAGTGTAAATGCTGTCCCTGGGAGCATTGGATATCCAGGATGGTAGGTTTTGCAAAACCCATAGGTGTTGTAACTACGTTATTTTGTATTTTGATAATTACGTCTTGACCTGCACCCAAATGCGTTTCAATGCCAGGAAAAGGGCCTGCCATGACCTGCTCTTTTAAGGCTGAAGAGTATTCTTTGCTTTATGTTGGAAATGAATTTTTAGAGTTGGTCTCAACACAAATCTGGTGGTGTTTTGGTGTACACACATAACTTCATTAGTCATGAGAAGACAATGTCAGTGGTAGTTCTTCCATTCTTGTAAATGCAGAGTCTTCTTCTATGAAATAACTGCATGATAATATTATGTAACAAAGGAGGAAATATTTCTCTCTGTTTGGCAGATGACTCATAGCTGCTCTTATGTTCTATGTTTGGTTTAATCCAGACAGATATAAGAGCCATCTCTTCAAGCTATTTCAAAACACAGTCCAAAAACATTTATATGATTAAGCACTTCTTTAATTCTGTAAACACCATGAAATCAGCAAGGAAATGACATTTAAATGGCATTTATCACTCAGTTTGTCTCACCATTGGGGATTATTTCTCTGTAAAATCTGAATTTGGAAAGAGACCTTTTGCAAAACATGAAATTGGAGCTTCTTTGCATCGTCTCCAGAAGCACTGCACAGAAAACCTACCTTTGGGGTGGATAGAGAGAAGTGACTGTTTGTGTCGTCTTTTTTTATGTAGTATCGTCCTCCAAGATGTACAGTATTCACTTTAGATAGCAAAACTGTATTTTTTTTCTTACTAGGTAAATTGATGTTAAAAACAGCTGGAACGTATCTTAGAAAAGCTGCTGGTTGGAAGCATTTGAGATGTTGGCAGTGAGATAAAGCTTCCCTGTCTCTGCCCACTGTGAATAATTGGGATATACATGGTCTGGTTCAAGCCCATCCAATGAATCTGGGACCATCACAGGCCAAATGGCAGCCACAGGGCTATTAAATTGAATTGGAAAGAGTAAGAGATGCAATCAGGTTCATGGGGACTGCAAGAGCACATAAAACACCTTGTAGGATCCCACCTCTGTGATAATCACGGATGGAGAGTGATGGAAAGAAACGTGAGGGCTCTTGGAGTAAAGCCCAGGGGATTATTGTGAGCACATAAAAATCCAAACAGCTTGGGATATACCTACCTGATGGAAAGGGGACAAGGGGAGGGTTATTATTCCAACAGAAATATCCTAAAATGCTTAATTCAAGTAACAATTGCGTATTTTTATCTTCAGCCAACTGGTTTGGATTTTTAGAAACCGATGTTAATTTAAGTCTGTATCTGTTTATTTTTATATTTGTTGTACAAAAGAGAAATTGTGACTTTACTACACAAATATTATTCGAGGGCCTGGGTGCTATTCATTTAAACATACCTCCACCAGAATTAGGTGTGATCAGGTCCTCCGAGGCAGTCATGATATATCAATTACTTGCAATCATGTGTGCTAGCTATTCATAAACAGGTGGGACAGTACCAGTTTGTAGCCAGATATTTACTGATTTTATTTCTGATACCAAAACATTTCTCAGCCTAATATATTTCAGTGCAGCTTAAAGATGCATCACGTCTTTATCTCACCAGGTTCCTCCTTAGCCCCCAGCTCAGCAGGTTTGTGGGCACGTGCCAACTTGAAGCACCCAGGTTGGATCTTGAAGCAAAGCCGAGGCTGCCTGGTTGTACTTTGCCAATACATTGATTTTTTGAAGCCAAGATGTTGTTGCAGAACATCTGGCTCAGCCAAACCTCTAGAAAACACAAAACCAGGGCGAAAGCTGAAACCATGGCTGGTGAGCTGGGGGGTCTGTTGGCTCCATTAATTTCTCCATTTTAAGACACTCAGCCAACAGCTGATTGAGGAGGCTCCAGTTGGTCAGTTGTGCAGTCTAAGTATTTAGGGCCAGTTCATAGAGTTGCTTTTTTTTTTTTCTATGAAAAATGATGTATTTTACTTCCTATGTATAAAAATTACTTGTAAATTTTCGAGTGCCTTTGCATGTTTTCCAAGGGGTTGTGTGGTTGTTTATAAACTAGATTTTTTTTCTAAATACAGAATTGTAAAATATCTTCCCCCCCCCTTCCATTTTATTTTGATTTCTGAATTATTTGTGAAATAAAACCTTCCCAGAATGAATGCTTCCCTTGTCTTTAATGCTCAGCCAGAGCTGGGTTTGTGTTTAGAAGAGCTATTTGGGATTACTTCTGGGGACTAGGGTATTCCTTGGAGACCCCAAACGAGATTGGGTTGTGCAGAGTCTGTTCCACAAACAAATAAATTAAGCTACCCAATGCCCAAGCATTAAAAGTCAGCCTTTACCCCATCAAAAATAATATGTATCCTTTAGTGAACCATCCTTAGAGTAAGGGAAAATCACTGTCTTTAAATCCCTGCAACATAGGGGCTGAAGTAAACTAAAAAATCCACTAGTTGGAATAAGCGCTTAATGAACTAATGCTGCAAAATACAACTGAGGTGAAGTCGTCCCCACCTGAGCAGGCTGTTGTTAAATATAGCCTTTCTTTTTTTTGGAAGGAAAAGTAGAAAGATTTTTTAATTCCCCTTGAAGTTTTCTCCAGGCTCCTACTCTCCGACAGCACCACAAATCCAACCAAGTTGTTCCCTGGTAATTCAACACCACCTTGGTTAAAGGAGGTTCATAATTCAGCCTCCAGGCAATGAGCACCATGTGGATTTGGACCAAAAATGTGGGCTGAGCCATGGGAGGGGGTCCTGACTGACAAGAAGGCCATGGAATTTTCTGTTTTCCATTACATATGCCACAAGATCAACATAAAACCCGGAGGTGTTTGCATTACTCCGAGGCTTGCCTAATGCAGTTATGGTTGAACAGTGTTTACCTGTAAAATCTAACCAAGCACTGACAAGATAACACCATTATTGCACTGCCAGTGATTCCTACAGGAGGAAAATGTCATGGCTGGTGCACTCCCTGCAGTTCCAAACTGTGCATTTGAACTTTTTAATGCCCAGTTTGTCCTTGCTCTCACCCGCTCTCCCTTCTGCAAAAATATCTCCTTTGCTGAAAATGTCTGGGGAAACTTTCATGAGCAGAACTTAAAAGTAAGCAGAAAAGAGAATTCAGGGTAATGGTCATTGTGAGGTTTTTTAGACCTATTAATTGCAACAGTTGTTTGATTTCCTAACTGTTGGTGCTACAAAACAATGCAACCTGGAGGTTGGAAATAGCTGATTTTAAGATCTCTTCCAACAAAAACCATCCTATGATTCCACGAATATTGTGGCAAAAATTAGGTCTCGGTTGGCCTAGAGATCAAAGCAGCATAACGCCCCAAATTTAAGGCTGAAGCTAAGCCCATCCCCTTGGGTCAGCTTCAAATCCTTTGACACTGTCTCTGGTTTTACTAATGGTTGTCTCCTCCTGCTCCAGCCATGTGCTTTATCCTGTGCTCATCCACCAGAGAATGGTGTTGTCACGAGTGCTGTGTGAGAGCAATGTGGCAGCCAAAGCTGGGTGTTCTTTCTGCACAGCAGGGATGAAACCCAGGTAAGTGAAGGCTGAGGGCAAAACACAAAGAAGCAGGAGAAAAATGGAATTTTTTTTCCTCTGCTGGGGGTGGGATTGAGATTCGTGCTTTAGTGGAGAGGGCATAAAAACTGGAAGTTTGAATGAAAGTAGAGGGGAAGGGAAAGAGAAAACTATGTGGACTTCAGTGAAGGTGACCTGTTTTCCCACACTGATAATCCTCTGGGATCATGGAGAAGCTGGGCTCTCCCAGCTTGCTGTTTCAGGGAGAAATGTCTTGTTGCTGGTTGTTTTGCCTTCTGCTGCCTGCTCCTCACCCCGTGCTGAGCTCATCAGAGGCTATGTATAGCATGGGCATACCTTGGGGTGGGTGTCCTTC